ATTGCAGTTTCAATGCTGTTACCAGTAATATTTTCATATTCTTCAAATATTTGTTTCAATTGTGGAACATTTCTTTGAACAAGTATTGAGTTAAATACTGATTCATCAGTTCCAAAACGAAGTTCACCTAAAATAAAAAATCAAAGTGATAACTTCAAATATTTTGAAAATATTATGAAATATTTATATTATTACAGAAATTACCAGCTTTGAGAAGCTCTTTTGCATCTTCAATTGCAGATGCATGATTCACATCAAATGATTCATCTCTATTAGCACAACATAATGATACCATTAATCGTTTGAAATTTCCAGAAGTATCAGCTCTTAAATCATCTTCTAATATTTTTCCATACACTAAACGAAAAAAAAAAAATATTGAAAATTTTTAATAAAGAATTTGTAATATTATATAACATTATCACAAACAAAACTTACTTGCTTCATAAGCTTGTTTAATTACACAAATCTCATGATTAGACATAGTACATAATACTTCGATAAGAACGCATTCGTCAGTACCAATACCTGCCATTGCGTCATGCAATTCTTTAGCATAAAATTGCGGTAAGGGCATCATCATAGCAAGAATTAATTTTTCGAAATTACCCGATAATTCAGACTTTAAATCTTTTATAAGATCCTGTTTTTATTAAAAAAATTTTCAATAATTGTTTTTCTATATTATATATTAAATTTTAATTTTTTACCTTCCCATATAAAGTCTTAAATTGAACAGCAATTTCTTGGCGCTGTAGATTACTGCGATTGGCAAGTACATTAATAATAGCTTTTTCATCTGTACCAAAACCTTTCATTGCTTTCCTTAAAATTTCGGCATCTGCTCTGGCATCAAAATCATTATATGGTATCACTGTAGGAGATAACTGTAACCCAAAAAACAAATCATATACAATATTTTTAATAAGGCAGCATTGAGCAAAATATTATAAATTTAATATCTAAAGAATGTAGCCTTTTATATCTTTGTTTAATCTCACCTTAGGCGCAAACTGATTTCTCCGGGGGGCTGGGGCTGGATGAGCTTGATAAGATCTATCCTTATGTGGAGAATAGAATCCTGCACCCTGCCCCCCAGGATAGCTTCCGCCTTGATAGGAGTTTGAATTATTTGAATAAATATTGGGATTAAAGGTATAAGGAGAAGATGTATTAAAACATTCTTTTGGATCTGATATAGTTTGAAGATTTGGATAATTATAATTTTGCTGTTGTGGATATGTTGTAGATTGATTTAGATATGATTGCTGCATTTGTTGGGAATAAGAGGAAGTAGATTTTGGCATAAGTAAAGGCATTTGTTGAGAAGTTTCTGGAGCTGGAGGAGGATATTGAGGATATTGATTAGGTATAGGATGACAAGGTTGTGTTGGATAAGGAGTTAAGACTTGAGAAGAATAAGGCTGTGGCATTCCAAAAGACACAGGAGGAATATTTGTAAAGCCTATATTGCCACTTTGAGAATAAGGCGAAGCACCGGGGGCAGAGGGTGTGCCAGGTGGAGCCCCAAATGATGTTGGTGGTTTTACATTTCCAGGAATCACTGGTGGTGGTGGTCCCTTTGATAGTCAGAGTACAAATAGAAAATGTTATAATCAGATTTTCATATATACTCTGCAGTTGGAAAAAAGGTAATAGAAGGAATGCAGAAGGTCTTAGTTATTTAAAATAAAAAGAATACAGTGTATATAAAATACAAATATAAAATTAAATTGCATATAAGATTATTACATATGGAAAAAAATTATATCTCCCTATGAGAGCCATTTTTATGATATTTTTCCATTAAAAATATTTCATTTTCAAATATTTCATTTTATTGTGAAATATAAAAATATTATATATAATATTACAAAAAAAATTTATAATAAAAAAGAGAAAGTAAGTATACTCACTTGATAACCGTAACTCATTTTGGTTGATTCGCTATAAAACGATCACTGGATACAAAAATCTGTAATTAAAAAATGATTTTAATTATGTCTCATAATCATTCTGACAAACCTAAGAATTTAATAGAAAAAAAAAAAAAAAATAACGAACTTAGCGATGTTCAATGGAAGCACTTGCTGCGAACAATGGCAAAGAAACCGTTTTGATGTAACTATTGCAATTCTATATAAAGTTATTTACGCTACAAGATTTTAGAGCTTACCTAAACTTTCGTAGAATTGTATTCTATAGATATTGACAACTGTTATTTGTATGATATATAGGTAACGATACTTGAACTAAAAATGTATTTTCTATAAATGGGAGTTTAAGAGAAATTGTTTAACGGAAGTTATAGAAAAACAATTTTTTTACAGTACAGTGACGTCACATTGACAAGTTGACGTAAGCACAGTAAGTTAGTGAAATATCGAATCAAAGGAGTCATATGTGTTCAAACGCGGTAATACTAAAAGAAAATTTAAAATATTTTTAAACATTATTAGCTGTTTAAAAGAGATTTCTTTATTTCACGTATTTAAATATATGTATATATATATATATATATATATATGTAATAAATGAAATTAAACTTCAATCTCTGTATCATTTTTTAATATATATAGATATATTTTTCAATATATTCTTTCTTCTAAGAAATTTTTTTTTCCAATTTTTTTAATACTTTTATGAATTTTTCATTTCGAAATATTCATATAAGTTTATTTATGATATTTCTTAAATTAGTAGTAATTTTTAAAGTAATAAATTGTTGTTTTATTTCTTCTTTTTTCTAAATTGTTGATGGATATTTTATGTCCATAAGTTAAACAAGAAACTAAATAATGAATTTAGTATTAATGGCGCTATCTCGCGGACGAACTAGAAGTTACAAGTTAATAGGAACATAGAAACATTCGTGATGTCATAAATAAAGAGAAACATTATAGAAAAAAAATAGAGAATTGATTGATAGTATTATCTCTTGAATATTAAAAATGTTTTTTTTTCAAAAGTATTCAAGATGATGCTGATTCTTAATTCTTATCTTACTTTATTCTATTCTTTAAAAAGATATCTTCGACAGTTAAAAGATAGCGTTAACTGTCAATTCTTGTTCTATTTCTATCTTTGTCGCATTATTTTTTGTCTTTTTTTATATGTTTCATTTGTGGCATTTTGAATGACGGATGATCTAAAGATGGCGCTGAATTCAATTTTTTTACGCTATCTTTATCCTTTTCGCTCTCTTAATATTGCTCCCTTTTTTATCTGTATTAATTTTATCTATTTTAAAGATAGCGTTCTCAAATTTTTACTCTATCTCCGTTCACTATTTGTTTTCCTTCTCTATACTATTTTTTGGCGCATGATTACAAATGAATAGGATATCAATAGAATATACACTTTCATTGTTTCTCTTTTAAAATTGCAATGCATCTTAATTTTTAATGTAAAAAATATAGATATTACATTCTTGGCTTTACAATGTATCTTTTGTCAAATATTGCAAAACATAATATATTCTGATAATGTCGTGAAACATAAAAAAATTTTTAAGCATTTTATCGGAAAACGATGCTATCGAAGATTTCTTATTGAATTTATTCTTTCTCTATTTATGATTATGATTATAATATATTTTGCTCATAAGTTAAACGAGAAAGTAAATAGAAAAATTTAATATTATTGGCAACATCTTGCAGATGGATGCTAGAGCTCCGACTTGATAATAGATATATAATATATAGAATGTACGAGGTATTCGTAACAAACGAATTCATATCATAAAAAGCAGCATTGTGCGAGAATACTTCCTATTACGTCGAAAACGCAATATTGAATATTAATCAATTAATAGCTTCAAAATTTCTGCATTTTTAAGCTCGCAACTCAAAATTAAAACTTCAAATAATTTTCTTGTATAAATCTATAAAATTTGGTAAAAAATTCTTGCCTATATTACGGTATCTTGTGAATCTGATAAAAATCTCACGTCTCATTTTCCTTTCAATTATATTTTCATGATACAAAATTGTAAATTCAGACAAAAGTTATTATTGTCAGAAATTTCGATTTTATATTAAGAGAATATAATTCGAAAAGTAATAGAGACTCAAAATTTTTTTTTTTTTGAACAATAAAAATTTTTTAGGAGCGTGTATTTATAATCAGTCTACACATATATTAAGAACACGGATTTTTAATTAAAATGTTTTCCGTGCATTTTTCTATATATATATAATCAAAATCATGATCTCTAATTTAAAGCTGTTTTTACTTTTTTTTATTTTACTATGATTAAATGTTTCATTTATTTTTTTATTAATGATCGTTAAAAGTTATTAATACTGACGCAAAAACATAATTGGTACGAAGCCAACATTTTCTAACAACAAGTTTATTGCTTTCACGATATTTCAGCTTAATTAGAATACGGGCGAATTGCAGAAAACTGCAAACTTAATTTATATACATTGTGCCCGTCAACATTTTCACAAAATTATGTATATGTATCGACAAATTCTTACTAATATAAGTGTATTTGTAATTAATTTTGTAAGAATCATTCATTCATATCATATATTTGAATAAACTGGAAAATAAATTTAATAGTCTTATAAATTCTAAAAAAAAAATAACGTATAATTATATTCGTTCAACATGCCATTCTTTATAATTTTTTATTGTGATATTGTTGGACTAGATAATAATATTTTGGATGCGTGCAAAATTTAAAATTACTTTTCTTCAACAATAAAAGCAAAAAAAATTTGAAAAAGATTGTTTGATAATTAAAAAATTGTTTCAGATATCCTTTTCTATATTCATTTAATTATTATTTTAATAATTAATATTGCATATTAAGATGCAACTTCAAAAGATCTGTTTTTTTTTTTAAAATAAATATATTTAAAAGTTGTATAAATTAATATTTATCCATAAGATTTTGTTATAGATCTTTTGAAATGCTTTGTTGTATTTCATTTTTTTTTCCCCTATCTACGCATGCATTCGATATGATATCAAATTTGATGATTGAAATCTTTTTTATTGCAAATTGCGATAATCTTAATTTTATGATATTATTTACGTTCTATTAAAAACCAGTGCACGTAATATTTTCTTTTATCGTCGTCTTTTTTCTTTTTTTTTCGTTCACTTAATGTTATATATTATACAATCAATATATCAATCAATTTTCTTAAAAATAACAGGAAGTAATGTGAAATAATAATATTAAAGAAACGATAAAAATGCAAGGATCTAATTATAAAAACAGAGTAATAAAATAATTTCCTATTCGCTATTTCGCATGACAAATTATCGTACATGTTTCTTGTTTGACAGAAATATATCATGGAAATATAATTTAAAACGATACTTATATAAGAATAAGTACAAAGGGTAATTTGCATTTACTTTTTTTTACATTAAAAAAACTTAATGAATATTCGATGTGTGATTTTAAAGAAGCAGTTGATTCATTAATCAGATAAAAAATAAATGCATAGTTGCGAAGCTAGAATAAATGAAAAACAGACAACTTATAAAGTAAAAAGAAGAAGAAGAATGCAAGAAGTTATACCGAGCAATAAAAATTTTTTCTCTAATATAAATATTTTTCTTATCATAATATTATCGCATCGAATAACTTTCAATTGAATCACTTTTCCCGCGCTAATTGGTCTTCATTTTATTAAGTAATTATTGCAACAACTAAAATTTTAATATTAATTAAATATATTATATGTAAAATATCACTATATTATACAGAAACATACTTCCATAACAAGATTAGATCAATTCTTTTTTTGCACATTAATTTTTTTTTTTTTTAAATTTAAGCTACAAAAGAAATTCATATTTTTTTTCTCCAAATTCAATTGCTCAAGATTAATAACAAGCTTAAAAAAACAAAAAAAAAAAAACAACATTATAAAGATTATTTATATTACAATATTTCCTATGGAGATCTTAAATAAATTGTAGCTTCTCTTAAATATTTTTTCTAAGATTAACAATAAAAGATTAGAAAAAAAAGAAGATCATTACTACGCCAATCGTACTTTTTACAATACTTCAGGCACTGAATCACTTTGTTTGTCGTACTTATTAATCGTTAAAATTAGATCGAACTCGAAAATGCAGTCGCTATCGACCTAACATCATACTATTTGTTGTTTTAATTTAACTAGGTTCGTTTCACCGTACAGTTTCATATCGAGGGGCGCACTTGGTTCGTTCTTTTTCGTCTGCGTATGCCAAGCGAGTACCTTGGTGCAATTATCGGCCAGGAATTCAATTTCTTCGGTTCAAACGGTGCCAAACTTTTCAAAAATCCATCTTCCTCGTATCCAGCTTTGAATGGCATCGAGGCATTTGGCCTTTGAAGCAGAAACTTCACGTTTACAGCAAAACCTGCCATATCAACTGGGAATTTCCGACCGGCGATCCATCCATCGTAAAATCCGATGAATTTTTCCTTCTTAATAATGGGCGAACTCAAACCAAATTTGGTGCATAAGCCGACAGGAAACATGGAGACTCGTTTCGTTTTACGTATCTAGAATATATAATTTTACTGTTTAACTGTTTAAGTATAGTCACAATTATAACGTTATCCAATGTAAATGATATAATTTTGTGTTAGGTTTTTTAGATTAATAAAAGCAAAAAAATTTCAGGCGAGTTAAATATGTTTCCTTTTCTTTTTCTTTTTTTTTTTTTTTTTAGTATACATAAAATTATATCAAATGTATTTTTCGTAATCTTTATAATTTAAAAAATTTCGTCCATATTATGTAATAAGAATATATTTGCAAAAATAATACTTCGTCGAAGAGTGCTATATCATAGGTATTGTCATCATCGGCGAAATAGAAGACGCCATTAGTTGCATTTGCCCTGATCCATTGTAAGCCACGATTCCGATTGGACACACCTCGTGGTTTGGCACCCTTTTTCTGCTTGTACTTTTCAGGCATCGGAGCTGGAAAAGAAAATAACATAAAACCATCTAAAGTCGAACAACACTATGATGCACTTCAATATACATTAACAATATATGTCAATTTGCATAAATGTTAATATAATTCCTTATTTGTAAAAGAATGCCGAGTATCACAACTACATATATTAAACGCGACCTGACTAACAAAATCAATATAAAGCTTTTTCATCGAGACTTGCTCTCCTTTGAATATTTTGAAAGAATATTATGATTATTCTTAAATAGATGCGAAATAAATGAAGTGAATGTTCCCAATTGATGTTACTCGTGATTAGATTTAATTAATGTTATTTAGTTTGCAAATTTCTAATCTATCGAATTTACCAGTCAGATGCTCGAACTTCAATCCTGTTCGTTCCAACAACCTCGTGACTTGTTTAGTGGCAACGGTCGCGTCCTCTATAACGAGCCAGTGAACATTCTTTACCAACATCAAAGTATGCGACATTCTGGTGAGTTCCGGTATTTGTTCTGGCCGACGATACGTCGGTGTGATTATATACAACGGTTCCGGTATTTTATCCGAATTCATCGACGATTCTTGTCTATCCTCGTTCAACGATACGTTTTGATCATTCTTCAAATTATTCTCGGACAGTTCGAGAATATCCTTGTGCAAATGATTCGTCAACTGCTGCACTAACATCGAGGCTATGTCCGGACTGAGTCCGTTCATCTCTTGAACTTTATGCACAGCGCTTTTGATCTACAAAAGAGAGAGAGAGAGAGCAAGCGTTTTAAAAAAGGACAGTCGTGAACGATCATGCGTTCATGTTCGAAAATTCACCATTTCTTCCTTGAATTTAGACGTTCTTACATAGCGCTCTACCTCTTCCTGGGATAGAACAGGGCTGTCTTCCGCGGAACCATCCGTGTTGAAATCTGCGATTTGATCGAATCGTACGCTGGTTGACAAATGGTATTGATAAAACACCACGAACAGACCTATTAAGGCTATCACCCCCATTTTCATAGATGACTTCATTATACTTGAACCTGAAAAGTAAGAAAATAAAATTAATATACAGAAGAAATAGATTTGACACGTATTTCTGTAACTTAAGATTAGAAAATTACATAGAAAAAGAAGAAGAAAAAAGGAATATTATCACCATGATATTTACTTCTAAACTGAGTGAATTAGTACAAGTGTAATTTTAAAATTATTTCAAGCTATATACATAAATATGTAGATATATACGTATATAGATATATAATGAAAATCATCGAAATTAATTCTCCTTTCTTCTTTCTTTCAAAAATTGCTCACTTCGCAAACGAATGAGAGTAAAATTAGGAAATATAACATCCTCGTGCATTAAAGCTTTTATAAGACGGAAACGATAAGATATGCGCTTCCGGCGATACGTATATATTTCTTTATGCAGATGAGATTTTGAAAAATTACTTATATTCGCGTTATTAATTTTAATACGTGAAATACGTGACATTTGCCGTTCATCTAATGATTATGAAATTGCAACGTTTTACACACTTTCCGTCGGATCAAGAATGTCAAACGTTATTATGGTTTCGCGCTACCAATGTTTTAAGAAGTATTATATTTATTTGTGTCGCATAATTGAGTTAAAGTTGTTAAAAAAAAAAATTGAAAAGAAAGAATCGTTTATACAATTTTTTTATATATCAGATATTTTTTCCAATAAAATAGATTTTTTTTTACGCATATCTTATTATTTATATTTACAATATTCGATTCGAAATTTTGACTCGTAATATTGATTTATAAATTTTCTTCGAATTGATATTAGTGCAAGATAATGTTTTTTCAGATTAAAAATTGAAAAATTAAATATCTATTTAATTAATTCCTAGAGTATTATCAATGTTTCAATTTTTGAAAATGTTGTCGATTCTCCTATATATAAATTTTTAATACCATAAAAATTTATGAAAACATGTTATAAATAAATATGTTTATCTTTATTTTATTGTCGTTTTATAACTATTTATTACAATTTTATCTCTGTGATAATCTTAATATTATTGTACACCCCATAAAACTGTAAGTACTTCATTTTTTAATCCTATTCTTATCTAATTTTTTTTGTTTGAAAATTAAAATTTGAATCGATTTCTTGCTAATTTATCATCACTTTCTCTTCCAAATAATTTCAATCTCTTATCTCATATATGTATAATTAAACCATTTTCATACTATTTATAAATATTATATCTCTCAATTATTATTATTTTTTTTTTTCATTCCTTATCTTAATTAATAATAATATAATTTTATTATTAATTCTAATTAATAAGTTCGCAAATATTAAAATAAAAATTATTATAGAAAGATGTTACATCTTTCTTATCAATAACAGAATAAAATATTTTTTTCGACGGCCGAGGATGATATTCAAAGCAACGTATTCCATTATCTTACATTGCCAAACGATAAGAGAGAACGAGTGCAAATAAAAAATTTATCTTTTACACGAAAAAGATTGTTAACGATGATGAAAAATTAGACAAATAGATTTATTTATTCAAAATTTTATTGATGATAAAAAGGCACACAATCATGATAAGCGAAAAAAAAAACTGTGTTGACAAAGCATGGAGGTGAATGCCGTTCGTATTTGAGGAAAGAAACAGCTGTTAATTACTATTCGATCGAAATTATTACGATTTTATTGGAGAAGCGACGAGTCAAAAATATTGGGACTAATGAACAAATATTTCTATTAAATATTTTAATTTTTCTAATATTATTTATTTTGTCCAATTTCGAATCAAATTTCGAAGAAAAAAGATCGATTGAACGAGAAAGAAATGTCGATTTTATATAATATAAATAGCATATATCCGGAAACGAGAAATTAATATAAGAATGATTTAGAATTATAAAATAAATTTTTGAAGAAATAATTAAAAAGTTGCGGAGATATTATTTCATTTGAATTCTAAATAAATTGAAATATGAAATGAAGGGAAAAAATAATGCATAAGCTTGTTACTTTTATTCATTGTAATATGATATGAATTTGATGAAAGTTAGCACATTTATTACATCGCTTGGAATCACAAATTTGAAGCGAGAACAAGAATGACTTTCATGCGTAAAATTTTTTTATAAATTTTTTATCTGTAAAATAAATTACGATTCGTTAAAATTTATAGAAAAAAAAAAAAATTACTTTATACGACAGATAAGTTTTGTTTTTCAATTTACCTTTATGTTTATAATCAAATGATGAGGAATAATTATTTTAACCTTTATTTATGATATTAATCTAACATATTTTCATTGCTGGAATGTAACAAATGTACAAAGTGAAATATAATTCTAACTATTGTTTTATAGCAGCAATTTTTTTTTCTCTATAATAATTGAGAAATTATTCCACCATTCAAATTATCTATCAATTATCAAAAAAGTAAACAAATGATTACTTTATACGAATATCTCCATTTATCTGCGTTACGTGTTATCAAAACTAACAAAAATTCTGTTTTTGTGCAATTTTATAAATATTTAGAGTATGATTATGCGTGAAGCTTATTTTTGTTCGATATATCACTTTGAAGGGGCGAAATCAACCTTTAAAGTTTTTTTTTTTTTAACTTTGTTAAAAACGATGTTACAAATAAAAACAAAATTTTAACATATAAAATATTATAGATTTTGATGCTTTGTAACCTTGTGTGAAAAATATTTCGAGGCAAAACATGTATTCAAAACACGCTTGAAATTTTGAGAATTTAATCTTTTCAAAAAGATTTTAGCTGAAAAAAATTTTTATGAAAATTTGTTAAATATAATAAATCATTTTTTTAAATATGCTTAATTATATCCATATGTACCTCTCTTCAAATAAAATAGAGACAATGATTCAATAAATTTTCGCGCCAGAATGTAACATGATTGATAACGAAACAGAGAAAAATATATGTTTGCTTAAATCAAATATCTATATACCTAAATAGTGGTTTTCATTGCAAATCTTATCTTTTATATATCAAAAACACTCACTTAATATTTAATTAACAAAGTTAAGCTTAATTAAACATATAAAATAAGAATATAAATATATATATATATATAATTAAACAAAATTGAACAAAAAATAATTCCGCGAAATATATATGAATATAATGAAAAAAGGGAAAAAAAATAAGAGAAATAAAAAAGAAAATATTAATACAACAAGAAAGAAAATAATAATAAAGAATATAAAAATAAAAAAATTAAAATGTTAAAACATGTTACGAAATTGTGAAATTTCAACATGTGCGACATTACATAATTGAATTAGAGGATTGCAAATAGTCTACTAAAGGATCGATTAGACTTAATTTAGCGCCATGACAGACGTACTCGTGGCTGGAAAGTTGGCTAGCGGGACGGCACAGAGACAAGAGACATACTCTACTCGTACCATCTAATTCAACCTTTGATGATCTCAAACCTTTGGTGGCTTTACAACTTTTAAATTCTTGGCGGTTGATTATGATTCTTGATCATAATCCTTATTTTGTATTTTTACATCAGTGAAATTCGTATTTTATTCGATCTTGATGTGTCTTGCTTATTTTTTTCGTGAAGGGATATTATATGATTTAATTTATAAATACATTTATTTTGATCAGTGATGAAAATATACATATGTTAATTTTATAATTTTTTCAAATAAGAAAATTTTATTATACTATATATTATTATATTATAATATAATCGATCAAATATGTATTTCTTTCGTGCTTTTTTTATCAGCTTTTCAATTATAATAATATATACTGGTTACAATGTAGTGTGCAGTATGAATTTCGGTTATAAAAATAGGTCACACAAAGCTGCAATTCTCTAAACCCTTTGGTAAATTCTTTCAATTTAGTGGCGCCACTTGACACCGGTGAATTTCTGTATTTTTCGATATACGTCTTTTATTCTAACGGAAAAACTTTATCTAGATTCAAAATATCTTTTAATTATATCTAATGTTTTCCCTCCTTTTTCAGTCGATACGAATTACAAACACGCACGACCAATCTGTTTGAATTGATTATCAATTTTTCTCAATTTGCTTACTAATTTTTATATATGAAAATTAAATGGAGAATATAATTTCTATGTTATAACCTTTTGCAATCGACTAATTAGACATATCTAACCAACTCTGAATGTCCCTATTATTTATCTTAGACAAGAAATAGGTTAAAACTTACCTGATAAACGGTGTTCATACTCCTTTCATGAGTTGTAATGGTTCTTTCTTTATGTAATTTGTATAGAAAATAGTTTGTCGCACATTTTGTGTTCGCGCGTTTTGTTTTACAATGTAAGAAATAGTACCACGATAGCTATGACACTGTGACGTTTTCATGATATGATAACCGTAAATCTCCATTAAAATTCGACATTAGTGATTTTTTTTCGATCAGTGATTATTCTATCGCGATACACTTGTATAAACCAAACCATAAACTGTACGATGTACCAGATGCTGTTGCTTCATGATTTTTAACAACTGTCTTGTCCATATTTCAATATAAATTTACATCTTCAATATATTAATAAAGAACAAATCCATTTAACAACTGCAACGGATTCCATCGCTGCTAAATGATGTTTCGTCGAATCGCGTTTGTTTTCCTTTGCGATGCGAATAATAAATTGACAGACAATCATGAGAATTTTAAAACATATGAATAACCAAGAGATCGTTCCGTGGAATCGATTTTCATGAATTTTCATTGTATTACGATTATATTCGAAAGACCGGGTGACGGAAGCATATTGCCACTGGCATGAGGATGATCTATATTATAAAACATCACTGATTTTTTCTTTCACTAATCTGCAGCACTTTGATCGTTTGGCAAATGTATTTTTAGCAAGAAGTCTCGAACCGCTTTGAAACGTTGGCCACATGTCGTGCGTAAAATAGACCGATTAGTTTTCAGTTAATGACAAACAAGTTTCGATTTTCTTGATAACATTATAGTCTATTTAATTACCTTCCTAATTGCATGTTTATCTATCGTACATTTCAATTGTGTTCTGTCAGCGAAAAGAAAAAACAATACACCTGACGTAAAGATCTGACAAAACGACGATGAAATGACACTCCTTCGTCGGTTAACACTGAACTGTTCCCTCGTTGCATTCCCCTTGTGCGATTCGTCTACGTTCGCATTATATATATAACCCCCACTATTTCGTTTCAGCTGGCGCAGCAGCCGACGCTGTCACTACTTGCATGTATGTATGCGCATATATATATATATATATATATATATATAATATATAATATATATATGTATATATATACATTTCTATACTATCATGATACATATGCGCGTTACACTGAATCACGTGGAAGAATGTATTTGGCGCAGAGTAGGTGTTTCTATCGATCTTTCAAACATCCGCGTGGCGATCGTTTCTGATCGAACGATCAAACGATCAATTAGATATTTGGATATTGAATACGTTATAATTTCCTCAATGATTCAGAAAAAAGAAAAATTCAAAGGAAATATATTTGATTTTAAAATTATAAAATTTTTACTCAATATAATAATTGTACAATATAAATTTAAAGATATAAAAATATTTTATTCGAATAGAATGATACAAACAGAATGAATGATACGTGTTATATGATTCATTTGCTTTATTGAATATCTTCACTGAAACATAATTATCGAATTATCGATTTTGTAATCAGATCATCATAAAAAATCAAATATGAATAAATAATTAAAATAGTATTCGAATTAAGTATACAATTAATAATAAATTTATTAATTACAATATTTGAATTTATAAATATTTTTTTTGAAATTTTTTAACAATTTAATATAAAATGTTTAATAACAACTTATTATCAATTATTATTCTTTAGTTTTAAATTCATATCAACTACAATAAAAAAATAATCTAAAAAAAGAAAATAAAAAAAAAGAATCTTACCCAAATGATAAAAAAAATTTAATAACATCATTGTCAAATATTAAATATAAAGTTAAGTTACAAAGTATTATTTAAGTAGAAATAACATGCTTTTGCATAATGACTTCACCATAATGATGATTAATATTATAAAGAGCCATACTTGAATTAAATAAAAAAAGATTGATTGAATGAAAATCAAATGAATCGAAATCTTTCAAAATACATTAAATTTTCAAATTAATTTTTGATAAATTTATTTAAACAAGGAAACTAAGGCAGGATTAAGAAAGGGTAGTAGATACGAGGGAAAGTTTAGTTAGTAAGTCAATCGGTTTATAAGATAGTTTTTCGAACTGTTTGTTATTATTCGTGTTCAATGATGGAATAAAATCAATGCGAATTGTCTCTTAATTTTTTTTAACTCAATGTCCCCATAACAAGTGGAATCGATCGATAACCATGCTCGACAGACACCATGTGGTTTTCTCTCTCTCTAACCGTCGTCATTTCAACTATCTCTCGCCTCGTCTTTCAGCGACCGGAGTATTGATCCAACCGAGCAATACTTATACACACAGTGTATGTAACATTGTAAACGACCACGGTTGCCTACGAATCTCGGAAGGGAATTGTAAACGACGTTGTCCAAACTTTCTTCTTTTTAATCGTAGGTATGTATCATATATTCGTTGAGGTTAAGATATATAATGCAGGAATTACATATGCAATTACTGAATGCGTTGCGTAAAGCGCTTAGGAGAGGCGAGAGAGGGAAGGAAGGTCTAGAATAAAGTTGAGCCATGACCTATACAGAAACGGATCATTTTATAATTTCATAGAGCACTTTCAAATTATTTAATCTATTTTAATCGATGGAGACTAAAATTAAGAATTCGATAATCGACAATTTAGCATTGGATATGAAATTCTATTAATGTACAGAATCAAAATAAGGTTTGTTTAATTATTTATATTCGTTTTAATGTCACTCTATTCTCACTGGTAAATATATTCTTGTATTACTATAGTTTCAATATTTTGTATTTTTTTTTTCTTAAATAAGTGAACGTAGTTATATTTTAATAGTTATCTTCTGAGTACATTGCAATTTATTCGCATATAAATACTATTACGTAAAAAACATGTAATAAGTATTTTAAAATGGAAAATATAATTTTATGTTGATTCGAACATAGTCGTTTGATTTATTTCATATATCGGCTTTTAAAATATGAAACAACTGGTTTTTAGCAATTTAAAAGTTTGTTCATATTTGAAAATAAATATGTAATTCATTCTACTTTGAGAACTAAATTAAAATATATAATTTTCGAATTGATACAGCGATAAAGATAAACAATTTCCTTATTTCTAAATCAAAAAATATATTTATATCTAAAAATAAATATATAAAATAAATAATGCAACAATACTTCAAAATAATGGAATGAATATGAATTTTTAACAAAAATATCTTAAGTATTAATTCCTGTATTTTTTTAATGAAAAAAGTAACAATATAAATAATACAAAAACGTTAAAAACGATAATATTAAAAAGTCTTGATTCTATTTGTAACAAATCTTTTAATTATCCTTACATTCATTCAATTTTAGTACTAGTGAAATGTTAGCTTATGATCAGTAAAAAAAAAAGAGAATTATCTACATTAATTAAACTTGCACATCTTAAAAAATGTATCTCATACATATCTCTATGAAATTTTGAATTAATTAAAAAAAAAAAGAAATACTTAAATAATAACACGTATTAGTATTGCAAGTATTGCAAATTTTTCTAAAAGTACAAATTCTATTGCGTTCATGACATTGGTATTTCTTTTCAGTCTTTAAATCTTGCACAATATTGCAAATTTAATACAATTATATTAAAGCTAATATATCGATCCCGTCTATCCATCCACTTTGATATCGATTAATCAAAAATTAATTCGAATTATTATTTAGAATTAGAAAATATTTCTTCACATATATATATATATAATATAATGATCTAATATTTTGTTAATTTTCAGTAATTAGAATTATTATCGTCAATAATCAATAATTAAAATTATTACGAATTATTAAAAATAATTGTACTTGGCCATTTGACGATCGAAAATAGCAAGACTTTTAACGAAATCCGATATGTTTATCGATTTAAGTTTCATGAACGCGTCCCTTTGCTCATCCATGCGATCTGACACACAAAGCTTCTATCACAATTCAACGTTAGATCCGCTTCGACGGACATAGCGGTTGAAATAATCAGGACGCCAACACTTGCAGCTTCCAGGTACCAGGAACCAGTCATAGTACAATCTTACCTGTATCGAAAATATATGGAATCAAGAAACAATTGTTTTTTATTTTTTAAAATCCATAAAATCGAATATTCGAATTACCTGGAAACAACCCATTTCATCAACACCATCGCAATGATGCTGCGATCCACTGTTTCGAGCTTCGTTTTCACCAGCACGCTTCTGTAAATATTGTTGATAATTTTGAAAATCGTGAACAGGTGGTGGTGAACCTGCAATATCTCTTAGACCGTTGATTCTAGAGTTTTGATTTTCTTCCACGAATGTATCGGGATAAAAAATTTCCGCTACTAGCAGACTAGTCCATCTTGGTGATGATAGACAACCACCATCCAAATAATGACATCTTGATTGCCTATAAGAAATGGTTAGATATTAACAATCACTCGATAATAATAATTAATTATAATGTTTCAATCTGTGTATATTACATGCATCTGGTTACTTCAATAGTCTGTGTGAAGTAACCCTCGTAAGGTATTTGAACTACATAACGCCAAACTCCTTGATAATTCTTGGCGAACACCGGTGTCGCGTATTCCACTTTAGCCGGGCAAGGAGTAGGTGGGCCGGTGTACTCTGGTTTCTCTTGTGGCGGTGTTCGTTGACGATACTCGGGGGTAGAAGGCTCGTCACGACGCTCAGCTGCTGAGGTAGCCAATGGCTCACCTTGTATAGCCTTGTACAGCATGCAAACTCTTCAATACAAACAGAAGATTATAATTCAAGATACGAATTTGAGTTAGTTTTAATTGATTTAATGATTGTTGATATTTGACAACTTACACTCCTCCACCATTCTCGCAAAATTTACGACCATTTCTGAGAGTGTCCAATGCGCTCTCTGAATCGGATGATCGTTTACTTCTGCTCCGTTTCTCGTCAGTGTCCACACTGATATTGGAACAAAAAAAAAAAAATACATTTTATAAAATGTATAACGAGAAATTAAAGTTTTTACATAATTAAAGTTTACTAACGAGTTTTGGAAGTACGAATGAACTGTGGCCACCTTCGGTAATGAATCATCGGCCTTGAGTATGGGCAACGCTTTGCTCAAAAATTTCAACGTGTGATTTTTCAATAGTGCACTATAAGAAGAAAAAAATATAATAAATGTAGTAAAAAAAAGAAAAAAGATATCATACGGAGAAGTTAAGATTTGTTAGGAAAATTTTTTTATATTTTACACTTACAAAGGATATGACGAACCATTGAAATATTGATTCATAGGATTCCGTGGAATATAACCCTTGTTAAGGTCTCCACAAATATTATGTATAGAAACGAAACCTTTTCCCTGTTTACCGGTATCTAAAATTTTTACTCGTTAATTTATTAATACATATTAATTTATATGTAAAGAAACAATAGAAAAAAATTATTTTTTAATTATTTCTTCTGTAACACTAACGTTATTAAAATAGCACAACACGTACCGTAGCACTCTTTATCGCTGTCTATATAAGGTGGTGGCCTCACTTTAGGCGGTTCTGCGTTCGGTGATTTAACAAAAGCGTAATATCCTTCTGGTGGTTCATTAGATTCCGTTGTCGAATCGACGTCATTTGATTTCGTTTGTTTCGTATCCGGATGTTCATTTGCATGACACGTAAGGCACAAAAGTATCAGCTATAAATTTGATATTTATTATGTCATATTATTCTTTTATAATTATTTACACTTTTATAATCATTTATTATATTGTTCAATCGTAAACACTTTTTTCTCTCTTTATTCATTATAAAACGAAATCATGAAAATCAGATGATGGGATAGTTAACCTTAACCTTATTACAGCAACCGAATTAAAATCTTAACCTAAAACAAACGGAAGGTCTATCGACATAGATCCAACAAGTTGTTGTCTGCAACAAGAGAGAAGCATTATTCGAATATGAAACTGGGATCAACGGGATACAAATATATCGCGTTGTTTGAACTAGCTTGTCTGTCAATGATCCCTCGACTCTACGCGTTTCGCTGTTACAAGACATTCCCCGTTAGTAAGATACCAAGGTGTATCGTATTCGGCCTTAACGGTACTCGGTCCATGCTCCATGGACTATTAATACTCCGAGACTATAGTCTTGTATACGGACTGCCCCACTAAGCGTGCACGACCACTAGTCATCATTGCATTCTTTCGGCTCTTTAATCTTCAGGAATTTCGAAGATAAAAATTATGACGTTCAAGTTTATTAGACTGTGCAAGTTTTTAGTAATTAATTAAGTTACTAAAAAATTACTAAATTTTGATTGTAGAAATTGTAATTATTCACAAGATTATTTGTTTGATTTTTAGGTTTAGTGTTAGAATGATTCGAATGGTAGAAATACATTACAGAGATTTTATAATTGTAATCGGATTGAAACTTAATGATTTTTTGAATTGTATAGAAAAAATTTGAGAAAAATAGTAATTTTTTCATATTAGAATAAAATCTAATCTTAGAATAATTTAATTCTAATATAGATAATTCATTATTAGCAATAAATTAAGATGATGCTTTATCAAATGAAATGTTAAAATTAAAAGATAATATTGATAAAAATTATTGCGAAATCTTGATTCATTTTTTTTTTTTTTTGTTAACAGGATATTATATCTTTAATCAATAACATCTTAGAATTCCAGAAAAAAAAAAATAATCATGACATTTAAAATACACAAATACTTTTAAAAGTGCATAAAGTATACATTAGTTTGATTAATGATCGTAATGAAATTCAACTAATTTTTTTATATGTGATATAAAACGATATTAAAAAAGACGAAAAAGTATATTTTTCCCGCATGATGTTTATTACGCATTTGTGTAACGGTATTACTTTATACCGGTTCCCTGTGATTACTGAATACGGGATCTTTCTATAATAAACATCAACTTACATTAAATTTATACAACTTTTCTCTCTGATTTTAATTTATAATTACACATCAATCAGACATATTCAACATATTTGTTTCGATAGAAATTATGTTCAATTAAATGTCTATTGAAATTGAAAACAAATAATTTAAAAAAATATTGTCATTGCATATAAAAACAACTTTAAGTTGAGTGATAGAAAAATTAAAAAATATATATATATATATATAAAAAATTTTGTAATTGTTAGTGGATAAAACAATATAATATAAGTATAAATAATAATAAGATTCATAAAATATTCAGAGATAAAAAAAAAGCTATTTTGTCAACTCACAACAAATGTTCGGAATTTCATTGTAGTAGTCCTTTCTTCTTTGACACAGAAACCAAATACGTTGAACTTAAAATAGGAGTTCTACCTCTGAGATGTCTCGTGACCAGACGACGGTCATAGCAAAACTGAACACATTGAACTCGTGCTATGGTATAAGAGCCACCTGCCTTCGGTTCTGTACTCATCACCAAAGGTATCCATGAACTGTCTCATGACATATTATGCTTCAATACATGCTCAAAATCTCTTTATTTTTTTGTATACTTGTTGAATATATACATTTAGAAATTGAATATACATTTAAAAATATAAAATTAAATTGTTTTAATTCATAGAATATAGTTTAGAAAAGCCAAGCCTGTAAAATTTAAACTTTTTCAAATTAAAATGTGTAATTTTATTGATTGAAGAATTTTTGCTATGTTGTGTATTAAATATAAATGAATTATTATATTTTAAATTAGTTTTAAATTATTAATAAAAAGATTCAGTTTGTTCATTATATAAATTATATAAAATAAGAACAAAATTTTAAAGATATAACAATGAATATCAATATTTGGCGCGCCGCATTAATCTGATGCACATGCGCATTCGGAACGAATTCCATACCAAAGAAAGATAGCGGGAAGTGATTATACGAGACGAAGACGCACAAACAATGCATATCCTTTTATTTAGATCGTCCATTCCCATATAAATAATCATTTCTGGAGAAGTTGTAATCTTTAAACAGATTTTTTTTTTTTAAATAATATAAAGCAATTGATGAATTTTTTAATATTTTTAGTATCATTGTTTTTTCTGCTATTTTTCAATAAATTTATATTTCTAATAAAATTATAAATTTTTTATTTACTAATTTCATTATAAATTTTATTTTATTTTTCTTTTAATTGAGAATAATTTCACCGACTTTCCTTCGTGAAAAAGATTGTGTGACAATCTATTATGTCGGAGAAAGATTTGAAGTGAGATCAGGACATTTCCGGAAATGTACGTCTTCGTAGCAGTTGGTCAAGGTCATCAACTCATTGAGCATCCATGGTAAGTACAAAGAAGAATGTGGAACGACAACCTATCGATCTACACATTAGAGTTATGCACACGAACTATATTCTTCATTTTCGTGAGATTAATCCATTATGAAAAAATTATAATTATATTTATCATATTTAAGCAAATATTAAATAATTATCAACGATATTAAATAAATTAAATAAATTAAAAAAAAATATTCTACGAGACATTTAGATGTTCTTATCTTAATGATACTTACATTATAATATATAAATTATGTATTTCAAAAAATTACTAAAAAATTAAAATTAAAATGTTTTAAATTTAAATATTCTTGTTTATGATATTAGTGAACGTATCAGATTTACCGTTGAAGCGTTGCAGGTCATTGATTCGTGATATATGTATGTGGTACAAATAATATTTGTACTTATATGTTTTAAAAAATCATCAACAATGATCTAATATTTATACGAATTCCAGAAAGAAACTAATATATATATATATAAAATATATAATTAATTGGTAATCTAAACAAATTTTTTATCATCATAAACATTATATTTAACCTTTAAAGAATGATGAAAATTAAGCATAATGAAATTTTAATCGCAGATTAAATTTTACTATTATCTTTTTTCGTATTTTATTTTAATTATACGCAATTACAATAAATTGTAAATATTTATTTTCTTAAAGATGGATTGTAAATTAATATACGATATTCTTTAACCGTATATTTTACATATATCATAGATGAAAATATAATTAAATGTATAACAAATAACTTACCCATAAATATATAGACATAACGAAATGACAAACATTCTTGAATCTTCTGAGCATAATATTTGAGCAATGACATCTTCTTCGTAATGCATAGATAATAATTTTACCTAATAAAAGCGGAAGGTATTTATGATATAAAAAATAATTTCAACAAGAATTTAGTAGGATAGACATTTATTCCATTATTTTATTGGTATTACTTACTACTTGAATGCTATATTCATAATAGGTATCTATAATTATGTCGATAATTATGCGTGAATTTAAAGAATACTTGAGGTCAGCCGCAAGATGTACAACCTGTGTCAGTGTTACAATCGTCATATAGGTAAATAATTATAGAACAAAATTTAAGCTTTTATTTCTTAATGCAATATTCATTAAGGGGAGTGGGGATAATGGCGGCTTATTCATTTCAGTTATAACCTAATTTTTTTTTTTTACTATTGATCGATTTTATAATTTACACACGATCAATCTTTTTTTATCACGACTAGGATATTCTCCATTTTTTTTTTTCATTTTGATATATCAATTTAAAAATTTCTTGACCACTGTTTTCCTGCCAATCTAATATTTTTACGAATTTCTAATTATCTTACGAAATCATATAACGCACAATATGAGGTACATGAAATACCATTCCCTTTTTTTTTCTTCATACTTCCTCTCTAATCACAAGAGTTAAACTCTATATGTTTTAAACAATATACAAATATCTTATCCTTATCCTCAGTATATCGATTAAATTCGTAATCTGTTTACAATCAATTATGCGCTAAAGACGATCAAATACAAACTATGTACTGCTTTCGTCTAAAAGTTTTTGGTCTATTCTTAACGCAATATTCCTTCTACATTCTTTTTACATTCTTTAATCGAAATACTTATCTACTTCATAAAAAAAATGTTACCATTTTGTTGAATGAAATCGCTTTGAATTTCAAAGAAAATCAATAAAAAAAAAATCAAAGAATGCGTAAATTTTTGCGAACACATGATTCCTACAAAAAAATTAAATATAATACATGGTAAATGAACGTGAAACTTTCTTATAATATAACCTAAATATTTAGATTTGAACGCACTATTAATCAATCTTTAAATTCGGGTAAAGACATTACGATATCTCATCATTAATTATTCAATTGTTCCACTTTATTCTGAAATTTCTTCATCAAGGTGAAATAACAAAAGAAATTTACCTGAATTTAAAAATTCCTTAACGATAAAAAACTGGATATTAACATTTTTTTGACGTTTCACATAATCAGCAGGAATACCGCATTCTACTGTATAGGTTATTTTAATCCGAATTGCACTCGATATTTTATACAACTTATACATTTACATTTAATTGCGCCGAAATAGTATACACAAGAGTGTATATACACGCCGCCATTCCCAGATCCGAGGCACTAATCAGAAAAATAAATCAGTAAAACTTATATAGATTAATGAATTTTCATTATCTTTTGGACGAGGTATGTTCGCATTTTATCATGATTCCACAACGATCAGAATTATTTCATCAGACAAGAATCAGATTTCAAACAACAAGGTAAATCTTGTTTCAATCTTGTTATTATTTAGTTACACTCATATTTATCTGTTGTGTAATTAGTCGCTTTTATGCAGATCCATGTGTGTGTGTACTGCTTCCTAAAAAACACATACTTGATACCAACTGCACGCGACCAAAACATGAACTCGTTTATATATTAAATGATACACCTTTCAATTCAATGTGAGGTTAACATGTTATCGTGAAATATTGAAAAAATTTAAAATAAAGAAATCGAATGTATAGGGGCAAAAAGAAAATAAGATTCTTTTAACACTGGCAGTTATGCATAAATTTGTCTTTTTATCTTTAATCGATAAATGACGATCGTCTCGAATGAAAATTCGTTTAATGTGTACTAACAACGCACACTGGCCGGATTCCCACCACAGCGGATTAAATCCTAGGGGGAGATATAATAATATGTTCTTGAGAACCGTTTCGTCAGGTTCCCTTCCTTCGGACACAAATAATAATAAAAGTGAACTCTCGTGAATTCCCTAACCAAGTGTCCGATTGTTTTTTTTTTTTTTTTTTGAAATTAATTTTATTGCAGCCTTTCAGTACTGTGCGCTTCTCCACTTAAATAAAAACTGATCCACTGTATACAACACAATCGAGATTGCAACGTCTTGAATATTAACAATGCCCGTGAAGTCCTTTTTAAACGCAAATGTACTGAAGTGAACAACGTTATCGATCGATCGAATCATGCAATATTATTTCGATTTACTTTTTTATTATTCGATGTGATATCACGTGTTCTCGTATGTTTTCCACTATGCACTATACACAACATTGAACGATTGATATACGTAATATACCTCGTTCCTTACTCCCTCTTGTAAATAAATTAAGAACCCACTTTTTCTTTGTCTTGTCTCCCACACGATAATATCGATACCATTGACCACTCTAACACCGGCATCTATCGGGACCCCTTTAAAATCGCATTCTTTGTATTGACAGAAAAAAGCACATATGTAGGCGTTGCGTTCTCGTGGATCTTCTCGGATTATATGTATCATAACTTCATGGAAGATATTGATGCTTTTTTCTCGGAAGGAATAGCCGACAGATTGACTGTAGAATGATGCCACAATGACAAGTACAGCTATTATATTACCAATGCTCGCAAATCACTGCGCTGACGTACAATCTTGTTCGAGACCGATCGATTTCGCGCGATCGAAATATTTATGTTGAAAAAATTTAAAATCTCTGTGAAAATATATAAATATTTTCGATATACATGCATTCGTCGATACATGATTCGATATACATACATTCAAGTCACATTATGATATTGAAATTTTTAAAAGAAGAAGAAAGATTCAATTTCGAAATAATAAATTTTATTTTTAAAACGTAATATTGAAATTATGTACAAATCGATCGATCTCGTTTCGAAAATCATTTCATGAAAGGCGCATGCGAAAAGTTTCGATCGTTTTAATGGAAACATCGAAAATCTTGTTTCGTCGATACATGGAATCGACATTTTTATTAACATTATTTGGAATCAATAGAGCATGTTTTGTTCTGTTTAATAAAATTGTTTCTCTTGAAAATACATGTATATATACTAAGTAAGTATATGTACATGTATAAGAGCGATATTTTTTCGAGTATACATTGAATCTGTGTACTACAATTGATTATTGCTCTTTTCTTAAAATAATAAATTTACCGTATCGGAAGTATATTATGTTTTTATCATCTTATCACAGTTATTATTTTTTTATTTTTTTTATTAATTTTATACATTGAAACTATTCGCTGTGCACAATTAAAGAACGATTGAAGGAACCGATGAAACGTTACACAAATATATAATCTATAAAAATGTTTAAAACCGAATGGTTCACAAAAGAAGGTAGACAGCAGAGGAAGAGATGCGACTGCTACTCTCATTTACAAAAACATATGTACTATTTAATAATAAATTGTTTTTCAAAGTGTACAAAAATAATATAGAATTTTTTTTTTAATTTAGTGCCAATAAGGAAGCATTATTTATTACTATTTTGTTTCTTTATTTTAGAAAAGAAAATCAAAATTTCTAAGAGAGTAGAAGACGAGAGGTATATAAGAGTATACAAGGATATTATCGTTCAATGATGAAGAGGAATATGAAAGTTGGCATATATGACAACAATGAGCGTTCGCATGAATTCTTCAATATATCAAATTCTCAATATTTTTAAATATTATTTAAAATTAAAAACATTTGATTACAAATTTAAACATAAAAATTGAAACGTAATTTTTATATATATATATATATATATAATACTTATCATATCAAATTTATGCACAATTTTTTTTTTAACTATAACAGTTCTCTACATTATTAAAATTTTATAATTTCCTTTAAGCGATACTAGATGTCACTCGAAGGAAATATTTCGAGACCATATTTGCAAAGCAAATATCGATCGATGATGATTCGAGATGACCGTATATACTATGGAGCCATTTCTAAGAGTGTACGTCAACGCAAAATTACGAAAGATTTTGCAAAAGTATTTTCTGAAAATTCGATAATTCTTACTTTAAATGGTTATGTCCTTTTCGTTACCCGAAGAGGATGAAGAAATTATGGGACGTAACCCCATCACTTTGCAAGGGAGTAAAAACTTCTTCAATTTCTACATTATTCTTGTGCATTTTTTTTTAAGGAGCTTAACCTTCTTTTTCCTTGCATTTTAAAAAAAATTTTTCCTCTATCTCTGCACGTATTTTTTAATGATTCGAAATTGAAAGAGGATGGAATAATGATAGGAATGAGATTACAGAAGTACAAGTGCAGTGAGGAGATTTTTTGGATTTAAGGAGAGACAGTGAGAGAGAGTGTGTATGTGTGTGTGTGTGGTGTGTGTGTATGAGAGAGAGAGAGAGAAGGGGGGGGGAATTTGTGATCTGTTTTTCTTAAAACATTAGTTTGGTCTCAGGGCCCAACGACTCGTGAAAAGTTATTGTATGTAATAATCAGGATGATCTGAATCCTTTTCAAACCTCTTCGCCTCTTCCTGCATGCTCTCCTTGATCTTGAGTATGGCCGCTGACTCAGTCTGATCCTGCGAATCAACCAACACCAGGCCGGTTACACGTAAGAGGTTAGGCAAGTTCACCATTAGGCGATACCTTGCCCATTTTGTTTTGGATTGGTTTCAGCGTTTGAATCAGCGAACTGAGAAACTTGTCTTTTTATTTTATTAATAAAATATTTAAATCTTTGATCTTTTTGTACATCAGTATTCAAATATTGACGTTTGAAAATATGAATATAACGATGTAATAATATTTGAAATTTTTTCTAGGTTATGGTTAATATAAAAAAATTGAATATAATTTATTAATTAAGTATTTAAAAAAAAAATTAAATTTAATAACGCTAAAAATATTATATATAAAAAAAAAAAATTTATATGACGGAAAAAAACATATCGCAGTTCGCTGATCCCAAGTAAACTCTCGAAGAAAAAACGCTGACATGCTGCGTAAAGTGATTACGCAGCGCGGTGACGGTGCGTCGTGAAGGGGCTGGGCTTGTGAAACGCAAAACTTAAAGAGAGGATATATATATATGAAAGAACTAGGAAGAAACTTGGTTGATTTGGTTGGAAACCGCGAGTGAAGAAGAGAGAATTGTGGTTCCACATCTCCAGGGCGCTCTGACCCACAACACATGGACGTTATGTAAAAAGCCCGTATCGAGACAAAAAAAAAACAAAACAAAAAAAATAAATAAACAAATAAATAAAAAAATGGATATAACAAAAATTTCTTGCGCATTTCGTGTGCGCCGCCTGCCCCCCACTCACGCACACCTCACCGGGAAAACCAACAATGAAAAATTCTTCTTAAAGATTAAGAAAATTTGTATCAAAGAAACTC